ATATGCCTATATAAGTTTACATTTTAGTATACTCCCAATATATCGGTGCCTCTTAATATTCAATATTTTATTGATTTTAGTCTAATTTTTTGGATTTTGTTCAGGAATTCGATGAACAAAATTCATAATATGTACTTATCTATCAGGCAGAACTTTTTATACCCTACAACACAAGGTGGTCAGGGTATTATGTCTTTGTGCATTTATTTGTAACATGGAGAAGGAAGCGATATAGGCCCATAGGATCTCCATAGAATCACTTTCTGAGTTGATTTATGCATATCAGTCCGTCTGTCCGTCCGTCTGTCCATGTGTTCTTGTGAACCAAATGCAGGTCGCATTTATTATCCGATTGAGATGAAACTTTGCAAACAACATTTGTTTGGCCCAAGGACGAACACTACTGAAATTGGAGATAATCGGTAAAAATTTAGATATAGCTCCCATATATATCTTCGTCCGATTTGCCTTTTTATTGTGCACTAAACGTGTAATATCAGCCCGAATAGTATGAAATTTATTTCATACTATTAGGCCTGAAAATAAGTATGCCAAATTTGATCGAAATCGGTTCAGATATAGCTATAGCTCCCATATATATTGTTCATCCGATTTGTTATTTTTGTCCTCCGCAGCCGTAATATGCACTCTGTAACAACAATATTTGGGGAAATATATCAAATGTAGCTCAGAAATACCTTTATTAAATTTTATCGAGATCGGTTCAGATATAGCTATAGCTCCCATATATATTGTTCATCCGATTTGTTATTTTTGTCCTCCGCAGCCGTAATATGCACTCTGTAACAACAATATTCAGGGAAATATGTCAAATACAGCTCAAAAATATCTTTGCCAAATTTTATCGAGATCGGTTCCGATTTGGATATAGCTCCCATATGTATCTTTAACCGGTTTCAAATTAATTGTGCACCAAATGGGCAATACAAGTCCGAATTTAAAAGATACAAATGCTTTGGCATATTTAGTCCTTTGAACCTTAAATTATAATTATAATCATAGCGTGTATGATTGAATTCTCCCATAAAAACTTTTAATTATTAAGTGGAGCTCAACTAAATTAGCAAAGTGGTGTAGTGTATCATAAAATCGGCCCCGCCCGACTTTAGGACTTTCTTTACTGGTTTTATGTAGGTCTACGGTACCGCCAATATTTGGTATTTTGATGATTTTAGCCACATTTTCAATGGAATTGTGTTGAATTAAAATTACGAAGTCCTTTATTTGTGCCCCTGACAGGAATTTGTTTATACAGGTCCAAGTTTTTTACAGTCCCGTGTAACGGTACCCTATCATTCGGTATTTTTATAATTTTAGCCAAAGTTTGCAACTGGATTGTTTCGAATTTGGTACTCAAATTGATACCAAGCCGAAAATTATGTAAGTAGATTTACGATTTGGTATAGTCCCATTTTAATTTTTTTTAGACTTTCTGGGTTCCACCTAAATCCGTCTTTACTACATTGGTGTCTTGGTGTTGGTGTTTTTTAAATATCCATATATTTATTAAAAAAAAAGTATTTTCGAAATAATTTCCTTTTACAGTTTGACTTCATTATTTAATAAATAAATCATAGCCCACTTGACAGATAGTTAACCATAATTAATTACAGCATTTTATACATATGAATTAAATGGTCGCCATGTGGATGGGTGTGTGTGTGAGTGAGTGTACGTCTGGTCCATGACGGTTCATATACACATATCAGCCAAACGGCCAACCAAACAGCCGACCGACCGTCCAACCAATACTGTTTAATGAATAATTAATGTCATCACAACCACTAACACCTCGACTGCATTCATTAATTTAACACATTTTGTAAGGCCTTGTTAAAATGGCTTACAGCAACACACACGCATACACCCTGTGCACACAAACACATACACACACATTTTGCATAATCCAACTTAATTAAAAATTTAGCAAATATTTTATAAATAAATTTAAAATGAATATAATCAAGAGTCAGTCACTGCCCAATGAGTGAGAGAGCGAACGACCATCAACGTAATAAAATCGAGAATTATGTTGCAAAAACCAAAAACATCTACAACAACATGGATGAATGAATGAAACAAATTAAATTGGCGGAAACGGAAACTGCAATCGAGCATACGTAATTTTAATATTAAAACAATGTACTCGGGCAGGACCAAAAATTACATGAGCAGATTATTAAAAAGCTATGCCGCGTTGTTGGTCCAAATGCAAAATCCATAAGTCAACATTAATCGCAGGCTCATGGCGGAGAATTCAAATGTGAAGAGCGCAACGTATGTTTGGCATTTAATTGCATGAGAGGCTGGATGACGTGCAGGTGTGTATGGGTTGGCGCGAAAATATGGTCAATTGAGAAATCGTGGGTAGGGCTTTAAAGTTCAAATATAAATATGTGACAAAATTACAAAAAAGTCGAAAAATTAAAATACAAAAATATCATTACGTGATATTTTGTGATGTGGAAACAGATCAATAAATTTAAATTAGTATTAAAATATAAACATTTGTTTAATTAAAAAAGTAATAACATTTCAAAAATCTTCTGAAAAACTATTCTTTAGAAATCCTTAAAAATATATATTTTTTAAAAATCCACATTTATTGGTTCTTGAAAAAACATATTTTTAAAAAATCCACGTCTATTGGTCTGTTGGTCCTTAAAAAAAAATCTATAAAAATCCACGAATATTGGCCTGTGATTGCTTGATTTTTTTTAATTACGATTATTGGCCTTTGATTGCTTGATTTTTTTTTAATTACGATTATTGGCCTTTGATTGCTTGAATTTTTATTTAAATCCACGATTATTGGCCTGTGATTGCTTGAATTTTTTTTTTAAATCCACGTTTATTGGTCTGTTGGTCCTTTGAAAAATATTTCTTAAAAATCCACGTTTATTGGTCTGTTGGTCCTTCGAAAAATATTTTTTAAAAATCCACGTTAATTGGTCTGTTGGTCCTTCGAAAAATATTTTTTAAAAATCCACGTTAATTGGTCTGTTGGTCCTTTGAAAAATATTTTTTAAAAATTCACGTTTATTGGTCTGTTGGTCCATTGAAAAATATTTCTTAAAAATCGACGTTTATTGGTCTGTTGGTCCTTCGAAAAATATTTTTTAAAAATTCACGTTAATTGGTCTGTTGGTCCTTTGAAAAATATTTTTTAAAAATCCACGTTTATTGGACTGTTGGTCCTTTGAAAAATATTTTTTAAAAATCCACGTTTATTGGTCTGTTTTAAAAATCCAAGTTTATTGGTCTGTTGGTCCTTTGAAAAATATTTTTTAAAAATCCACGTTTATTGGTCTGTTTTAAAAATTCAAGTTTATTGGTCTGTTGGTCCTTTGAAAAATATTTTTTAAAAATCCACGATTTCTGGTCTGTTTTAAAAATCCACGTTTATTGGTCTGTTGGTCCTTTGAAAAATATTTTTTAAAAATCCACGATTTCTGGTCTGTTTTAAAAATCCATGTTTATTGGTCTGTTGGTCCTTTGAAAAATATTTTTTAAAAATCCACGATTTCTGGACTGTTTTAAAAATCCACGTTTATTGGTCTGTTGGTCCTTTGAAAAATATTTTTTAAAAATCCACGATTTCTGGTCTGTTTTAAAAATCCACGTTTATTGGTCTGTTGGTCCTTTGAAAAATATTTTTTAAAAATCCACGATTTCTGGTCTGTTTTAAAAATCCACGTTTATTGGTCTGTTGGTCCTTTGAAAAATATTTTTTTGAAAATCCACGTTTTCTGGTCTGTTTTAAAAATCCACGTTTATTGGTCTGTTGGTCCTTTGAAAAATATTTTTTTAAAAATCCACGAATATTGGCCTGTGATTGCTTGATTTTTTTTAATTACGATTATTGGCCTTTGATTGCTTGATTTTTTTTTAATTACGATTATTGGCCTTTGATTGCTTGAATTTTTATTTAAATCCACGATTATTGGCCTGTGATTGCTTGAATTTTTTTTTTTAAATCCAAGTTTATTGGTCTGTTGGTCCTTTGAAAAATATTTTTTAAAAATCCACGTTTATTGGCCTGTTGGTCCTTTGAAAAATATTTTTTAAAAATCCACGTTTATTGGTCTGTTTTAAAAATTCAAGTTTATTGGTCTGTTGGTCCTTTGAAAAATATTTTTTAAAAATCCACGTTTATTGGCCTGTTGGTCCTTTGAAAAATATTTTTTAAAAATCCACGTTTATTGGTCTGTTTTAAAAATTCAAGTTTATTGGTCTGTTGGTCCTTTGAAAAATATTTTTTAAAAATCCACGAATTCTGGTCTGTTTTAAAAATCCACGTTTATTGGTCTGTTGGTCCTTTGAAAAATATTTTTTAAAAATCCACGTTTTCTGGTCTGTTTTAAAAATCCACGTTTATTGGTCTGTTGGTCCTTTGAAAAATATTTTTTAAAAATCCACGATTTCTGGTCTGTTTTAAAAATCCACGTTTATTGGTCTGTTGGTCCTTTGAAAAATATTTTTTTGAAAATCCACGTTTTCTGGTCTGTTTTAAAAATCCACGTTTTCTGGTCTGTTTTAAAAATCCACGTTTATTGGTCTGTTGGTCCTTTGAAAAATATTTTTTTAAAAATCCACGTTTATTGGTCTGTTGGTCCTTTGAAAAATATTTTTTTAAAAATCCACGTTTATTGGTCTGTGAGTCCTTGAAAAAATATTCTTTAAAAATCCACGTATGTTGGTCTGTTGGTCCTTAAAAAATATTCTTTAAAAATCCACGTCAATTGGTCCTTGAAATAATATTGATGCTTGAAAAAATATTCTTTAAAAATCCACGTTTATTGGTCCTTGAAATAATATTTTTTTAAAAATCCAAGTTTATTGGGAGTCCTTGAAAAAATATTCTTTTAAAATTCAAGTTTCTTGGTACTTGAAAAAATATTCTTTAAAAATCCGCCCTTAAAAAACCAAATTATTTTAAATTCCACAACATTTTATTTTTCCATCACGAAATTCCCAATTTAAAAGCACGAATTCACACTTGGCAATTTACCCTCACAGAACTTCAGGGTGGACCATGCCTTCCAGCCCTGTTCCTTCTTCACGGTGAGAGCACATTTAATCGAATTATCCAAATTGTCCAACAAATCGTTGCAGGCAATTTTACAACCATTGGCCGTTTTACGGCCGCTGGCATCCTTGCACCACCAACGGTTGTTTATCTGGAACACACCATAATCCCGGGTCCCGTCACGATTCTTAGGTCCAACAACGTGCAGGCGATAATTAGATTCACGGTCCGCAATACAAGCCCATTTGGGCAGCTCTGATTTGGGTACACCCATGGCGTACATTCGCTTCACCAGCGTACAACGATCTATGGTTACGCCGCAGGTTGGTGCCACAATGGCTAAAACAGCGATCACAGCTACGAATATTTTCATTTTTCTTCTGACAATAGAAAAGTTTTAACAGAAATGATAAAAACTAGTCCAAAGGCTCGTCTTTTATAGGAAGTCGTTCCGATTTAAATGTCAAACAATTCATTGCTGATTGAATCGTATTTGTTCAAGTGAAAAATAATTAATGACGTCCATCTTAAAATAAAACTATTTGCGTTGTTTTTTCATTTCATTTGAAACTAGAAAGGCTTAAAATGATAAACAATTGGAAAATAACTCTATGAAATGTGTCTTAAATCTATAAACAGCTCTCTTCGTGTACATATTTAAGAACGTGCCGGAAACAACGCAATTCTTTCGATGCAGGTGAAAAAATAGTATAAAATAAAAGAAAATAATTCATTAAGGAAGAGGGTGAGGTCTTATTTTAATAGAAGACGTTTTAATCGACATAAATGGAAAAAAGGCTCTCTTCTAGACCATGAATAATAAGGACTCATTTTTTGAACTCCTCACTATCAAGTTCACCTTATTGTCGTCTTCTATGGATAGAAAGCCTAGGGATCTTTTATATATTTAGGACTTTTTTTGGTATATTTTATGAATTGGAGACCTCAAAAACGTTCTAACAAGACATGAGACCTTTTTGGGGTCTTCTATAGATTTAATACCCGGTAAAAAAAAAAAAAAATTTAATTGGTCGGACCGAAAATAGTATTTTTGAAAGATCCTCGCTTTTAGACTGAATTCGGTCGGATGTACCAAAATTTAGGTTATTCGGACTGATATTAGCCATTTGGTGCACAAGTAAGCCGAAATCAGTACGGAAGTTATATCTAAATCTGAACCGGACTTGATACAATTTGGCAGAGGTATTTCTGGACTGTATCCGATATCAAACATCATCCTTGTGGGGTGCATATTACGAATGTTGCGGACTTAAACACCAAACCTATATGTGGGAGTTATAGCGATATCTAAACTGATTTACTCCGAATTCCATGTACTTGCCTTTAGACTGAATTCGGTCGGATGTACCAATTAACCCGAAATCGGGTTGCAAAACTGCAACCATCTTCAGACTGCTGTTATTTCTAAGCTGAGACCAAAAAGCATTTTAGTGAGAATTTTCCAGAAAAAAGGTTATTCGTGATGAAATTTAAGCGTGATAGTTCTTTAGCGAATTATAATTGGCTGAAAAACCACAAGTGGCTATCGTTAGAGCACTCCAGCATTTAAATGTGAATAAATCTTTTGTGTCTCGTATCATCGCTCTTTACCGTGATACTGGTAGCGTAGCCCGACCTTAAGGAAGTAGAGGGAAGAAAACAGCAACAGCAGCAGAAATGGTTCGAAAAGTAAAGAAGTGACATGATCGAAACCCACGTCGTAGTGGCCGAAAAATAGCTCGTGAGCTACACATATCGCAATATTCCATTCGGCAAATATTGAAAAATAAGCTCGGGGTAGAGCCATTGAAATTCCAAAAAGTGGAAGAACAGCAACAGAAAGAAAATATACTCAAAAGAGCTAAAGAGTTGCTTGGCTTGGCCGAAAGTGATGAACTGCCGAATTTGGTTTTCTCCGATGAGAAAACATTCGTTGTCTAGCAGTTTGTAAATAAACAAAATGATCGTGTTTACTTGCCAAAGGGGTCAACTGAAAATGTGCACCTTCGGTTGGCCACCAGAACTCAAGCGCCGTGGTGATGGTGTGGGCCGCAATAACAGCCGATGGTCGCTCTTCGCTCGTATTAATCGACGTGACATCAAAATAAATGCCGAATATTATCACGAAAATATTCTGGAGGGTATATTAAAGCCTTCGGCACGCAAACATTTTGGCCGCAGACCTTGGCATTCCAACAGGACTCAGCACCACCCAATACTGGTTACATAATGAGGTTCCCCGCTTCATTTCGAGCGCACAATGGCTACCAAAATCTCCGGATACCAATCCGTTGGACTATTGTTTCTGGAGTATTTTTGAAAGCAAGGCTGGCACTAAAAAATACAAAAGTGTCGATCGCAAGTGCCAAAATATCGCAAAGCAACATTCGTTCAGCGTATGACATGTGACATGTTTCATTGACCGTTGAAGGCCATAATTCGTGCCAAAGGTGACTAATTCGAACAAATCTAAACTTATTCGAAAATTTGACGCTATTTCCGACATTTTTTGCTTTCATTCAATAAAATTAAAAAAAAATGCAAAAATAACGGTGTTTGACTTTGTTGTAGTTTTTTTATCTCACCCTGTAGAATTTGTAATACTTTTCTTACCGTCTTAATACGAATGTCCAAAACCCTGCCTTATCACATACACGAAGACTAAATTCCGTGCACAATTTCAAGATTCTTAATTCAGCCTTTAGTCTTTTTATAAAACACCTTATTGAGTTCAGCCATTTTTCGGAAAACGCTCACAGCTATAAGAGTTTTAAAATTCTTATTGGTAATTTGAGATGCGATGTTTAATAGATTCAGATTTTCAGATCTTCCGTAAATATGAGATTACGGATAGACATACGATTCTCTGATATATTCTTTGTTTAAGAGATAATTTGATAACATCCCCTTCGAGTTGAACTATTTATACCCTGCACAACACTGTTGTCAGAAATACCTCTGTCAAATGTGATCGAGATCGGATCAGACTTGGATATAGCTTCCACATGTATATCCTTATCCGATATCAGGTTTATTGTGCACCAAATGGCTAGTATCAGTTCAAATGACCTGAATTTCGACTGAATTCATTCTAGAAGTAAGTACTTCAAATTTTGTGAAAATCGGTTCCGATAAAACTATAGCTCCCATATATATGTTGCATCCGAGTTGGCGTTTAAGTCCCTCACATGCGTAATATGCACTTCACAACAGTGATATTTGGTACCAGATATCAGGTAGAGCCCAGAAACACTTCTACAAATTTTATGAAGATCGGTTCAAAATTAAATATAACTCTCATGTTTACCTTCAACCGATTTCGGGTTAATTGTGTACCAAATGGCCAATATCACTCCAAAAGTCCTGAATTTTAGAATATCTGACTGAATTCAGTCTAGAAGCATATATATCGAATTCGGAGAATATCGGTTGAGATATAGCTATGTCTCCCATATATAGGTTTCATCCGATATGGTGTTTAAACCCCCCACATTCGTAATATGAGCCCCATAAGAATGATGTTTGGTATTAGATATCAGATACAGCCCAGAAATACATCTGCCAAATTGTATGAAGATCGGTTCAGATTTGGATATAGCTCCAATATATATCTTCAACGGATTTCGGGTTAACTGTTCACCAAAGGTTCAATATAAGTCCAAATGACCTGAATTTTGAGACATCCAACCTAATGCAGCATAGAAGCAAGTACATCAAAATTGGTGAAAATCAGTTCAGATGTAGCTATAGCTCCAAAATATATGTTTCATTCGGTTTAGTGTTTAAGTCCTTCACATGGGTAATATGCATTCGACAACAATGATATTTGGTACCAGATATTTTATAGAGCTCGGAAATACCCTTGGCAAATTTTATCGAGATCGTTTAAGATTGAGATGGTGATAGGTGGTATGATCTACTTCAAATAAATTATTTTGTTACGGGAGCTCCACTGAATATGCATGGCGGTGTAGGGTATCATATAGCCCTGACCGACTTCTGACTCACAATTTTTTTAAATTCACAATTATGGCTCTGAATATCCCGTTTTGGCCTGAAAATTGTTTGTTCTTGTGGCTTAGGATACCAACTGCTTAAGAAATCTATATCTGCTTCTGTGAATACCCCCGAAATAAATTATTTAAAAAAATTAACTTTTGAGGCTGTGGGTATATTTAAAAAAAATAAATAAATAAAAAAATAAATAAATAAATAAACAAATATTAAAAAAGGCGCGTGTGCAGCTGTGTCTATTTCTGAATATATATTTGAAATATCTGCGTTCATGGCGGTGGATGTTCTTTACAAATTAAAAATTAGTAGCTGTGGATATCCTAAAAATATTATTTAAAATTTCAAATTTGTTTGCTGTAAATATCATTGACTTTTTAAATTCATATTTGTGACGGTCTATATATCTGAAGAAAATTATTTAAACAATGCGTGTTTAGGGCTAAACAAAATTACTTGAGGAATCCATGTTTGTGGAGGTTGATACCCTTGAAAATAAATGTTACGAATCCTTAAAAAATGTATTCAGAATTTTACGAATTTGAAAAATCTTCTATGGTAGCGTGAGATGAGGTATATTGTAGATCTCTTTAAGGTCTTCCATAACTTCTATAGAGATAAGATTTTTGTGAGATATTCTATAAAGTTAAGTTAAGCTATTCTTATTATTATTTAGGGTGCAATAACAGGAATTTATAGTTCTTGAAAACAAAAACATATTTTCCCCATGGCTTCCCTAACAAACACGTTGTGGAAAATTCCAATTCCTCTTCAACATGTACCCTAGATGGGGTTCTTTAAAAAGTGATTTTTATTATTTTTTATATTGTTTATTTGTTATTTTTTCCCTTCTATTATTAACAACGACATTTGGTCCTGCCATATTCTAACGAACATAAATGAGACTATTCTGAACTTAACATTCACTTCCATTGAAGAGTAAAGTTGTGTTTAATGCGATTATTTAAATATTGTGCAGATCCTGATGGGGCAATGTGCAGGAATCTTGATGGCAGGAAAAACGACAACAACAACAACATGACAACAAATTGTACAAGCAAATATAAAAAAAAATAAATGCGGACAGAAACTATTTATGGCAGAGTAGGGGAATCTAGCTTCAGTCTGGCATAACTGAGGGGGGATTCCTGCAAAGGGTATGATACAGACACATGAAAATAATTTAAAATATGTGAAATTTTGCAGAACGCCTTATATACAGGGTGAGATGAAAAAACTGCAACAAAATCAAACGCAATCATTTTTAGATTTTTTCTTAATTTTATTGAATGAAAGCAAAAAAATGTCGGAAATAGCATCAAATTTTAGCATAAGTTTAGATTTGTTCCAAACGGCAAATGA